GTCCAGTTTACAAATGTGTAAATGTCCCAGCATGTACTGAGCCGTCTCTTTGTGTTTTTCAGCAACATTCCCAGGCACAGAGGAGAAAAGAATCCGAAAGAAGAGAACCCTGCACGGCGACGACGGCTCTGGAGCCAAGGCGTCCGTCCCTACTGAAGCTGATGAGAAGCCTACCAAGGTAGGGTCAACCCAAGATGAACCAGATGAGAAGGAAGCAAGTGGAGACGGGAAGACTTCGGTGTTTGCTGCAGCCATGCAGGCTGAATCAAGCGGTGACTCTAGTGGCGACGGTTTCTTCAGTGCAGAAAACGCTGCCATACAAGCTGAATCAAGCGGTGACTCTAGTGGCGACGGTTTCATGACTGTAGAAACCGGCGCCATACAGGCTGAGTCAAGCGGTGACTCTAGTGGTGACGGTTTCTTCAGTGCAGACGCCGGTGCCATGCAGGCTGATCCGGAATCAAGCGGTGACTCTAGTGGCGACGGGGAGCAGGAACCTACCATGAAAGGAGGAGGACATCACGACTCCTATCCCGACACTTACACTAGCACGACCGACCACGAAATCGAAGGACCCCGTAAGGCCAACGGCCCTGCAAAGAAAGACGGCCATGGTCAGGAGAGCTACCACCAAAAAGAGTTACCACAGTGACATGGCCGAAACGCTGACCCAGAAGACTACATCACCTCAACCAAGCGCGACACCCAGGGGTGACCATGAAGGCACCGGTTATCAAGAGAACAACATCCGTGACCACACGGGTCGGGATGACAACCCAAGCTCTGACCAGGTCCAGTTGTAGATATCTCTTGAAGTAGTTACTAGTAAGACACTAATGTCTTTCGTCTCTTGGAAAATATTGCATAAGATAAAACATGTTAAGTTTGAAAGAGCACAAGTATTCAAAAGTCCCAATGTTGTATTGATGATGTAAAGTATTGGAAAAATGTAAGTAAGACGCAAAGTCGTGGTGTAGTCAGGAGGTTCTTTTCTAACCTCCTGGGTATAGATAGTGTTGTTTTGAGAAGCTGTTCATGACATTTCTACTTTCCCGCGATCTATTCACAGATTGTGTTAGGATTTATAATAGTCTAATGCGATACAATAGCGTAGAGCCAACTTTGAAATAGTTAACGACTAGGTTGTTCAAGGAAAAAACAATGAGGTAGAATTCTAAGATTGTTTTGAGACGCTTGAAGAAAAAAAATCAGTCTGTTGCCTCGAATTTCTGGAATGTAAGAATAGATCTCTTGTTCTAAATTTTCGTTACAACAAGGTTGCAATCAAACTGAAAAAAATTAGCAGAGTTTGACAGTAGGTTATACGGCTTTCTGCTGCAAAAATGTTTGTATTTAGTGCCGATTAGTTCATTGAGGTTGCGTCTAGGCGTTCAAGGAATTTCAATTAAAGTACATTTTTCAGTTCAAATCTGTTGCGTTAAGTCTGATTTTTAAGTGAATGAATCTAGGGGTAATCTGACAGGTAACAGTCGTTCACATGCGGTGACTAGGGGGAATATACTGTATATGGAGCGTGGTGCAAAATCTAACGTACCCATACGCGCGCTGTCCTTGGTGCTGAACAGGCTTCTTAGCGGTAAAAGACGTAATATTCCTAAAGCCACGCCCCATCAGAAACGACCTATAACAACTTGAATACTAGTTCCTCCGTCAAAATCAGCGGGCACGCCCGTTGATGATCACATGACCAAATCAAACTCTCTTTTTGGCTTGATCGCTAGTTCTGACGGACAGCCAGAAACGACGTGTCCTTGACCTAAGTGTTGAGTGAGTACCTAACCCCCTAAAGAGCATGCCTATATTTCCGTAAGGTTTGGCAAGCTTTTACCCTTTCAGATAGTCCCTGTAATTCATGGACGCTCTAAAAGTAGCGCGCGTATGTGATTTTCACCATACTGTGTGTTCAACATTGTGCGGATGGCGTTCAGCACCAAGGACAGGCACCGTTTCCACGGAGTCTTGGTGCGCTGATTAGATTAGCAGATTTCGGCTACTGCACGTTCGTTGCCAATACTTGTTGCGCTGACGCTACCTGTGTGTAATTTTGACACAGACTAGTCCGAAATGGTGGAAAGAGAACCGTTATTTTTTAGGGGATTGACTCTTGGTGGTAAAGTAGTTGTGATCACCACGGTAGAAATTAGACCGGCTGTTGTGCACAGCTGTGTAACAATCAGACGCATGTGGCATAATCCACTCAGTCTGTGTCTGGTGGTGTCACGCGGGGAAGAGTAGGAAATCTTTTCAACGTCTTGGTAAATTTTCAGCCTCTGGTTCGAAAACCATTCATCCTAACGTGTAGAACAAACCTTCGGGGATGTTTCCACGGCGGAGTTGTGCCGTTTTCTGGAGTTTTGACGACAAAAATGTGCATTTCCCGAACTGGTGGATGTTTGGAGAAGAGAACAAAATGGCGTCCGTTAGAAGGAGGACAGCTAGCGTGGCTGGGGGGAGGGCAGAGTTTTCTCAAGGTAAGACAAGAAACCATGTTGTCGAATTGGTTTCCTACTTACTGTAACAGCACGTTGCGGTATATTCGTGGTAAATTTGTGTGATTTTGAGAACACAGCGCGCTAATTTCTAGTTTTTGGTCGTTTTTTTAAACATGTCGCTGTTTTCTTCACTCTTTCACGTCTTCTCTCGGAATGTCGTAGTTACAAATGTCAACTAATTATTGCTGCTGCTTTTCGTGTTAAATTTTGAACAGAAAAAATGGACGTTACTAGCTTTCTGTATACATGTACTTGGTCTAAGATTTGTCCCCCTTGTCTGTGAAACAGAGGAAAAATGGGTAGAATATTTGTGGGACTTTTCCCCATGGAAAACACCAGAATGTGCCTGTTGAAATGTTCAAAGCTAGTTTGAAACAGTACTCTTTAGTTGGCCAGATATTTCAGAGAGGTATAAAATGACAAAACAATACCACTTTAATTTGCTGTTTCTTGAATTTGCCCGATTTACAACAAGAGCATGTACATGTAACATTCAGATTCTGTATAAATCCAAAAATGCTATTTTTTTTAGCCCAAGTAAGTATATTATCCTAGTTGTTAACTTTCCATTTATCGATTTGATTAAATGTTCAAAATTTATTGTTTGGAATTTAAACCGGCTCAGTATGTTCTGACTGCTTTGGTAGTATTTACACCTTTTAAAAGATACCTAGGCTTTTTAAAGCTTCAAGAGTGAACTTAATAAGTCCACTTCAAGAATTTTAGCTATTGCATGGGAATTTCTGTCATCTTGCAACACACATCTGTGTGCTACTGGAAATAGGTTAATGAGTATTGGGTATCTGTCACAGATCTAAATTGTATATACATGTGTTAGTGTAATATTCATCATGTACATGACAAATTGTGTTTTATTCATCCAACTGTACACAGTACCTTTAAGTGTCTATAAATGTATATGAAGGCTTGCAAGTAGTTGCTATCTGACAAGTCTCCTGGGCACATTTTTCTCATCAATACCCTTAGTTGATTATTCTTTTCACGGTTGGGTGATCGAACATTAGCTGCATGTTTTATCACCTTTAATCATAACTTGTCAAGAATGGCATCCAAAAGTTTCTGGTCTACTAGTAGTTGTTTTTATATGTATCCTGATGTCGTCTGTGTATAACAGGGCTGATGACACCTTGTAACTTTTAATATTCTTCTCATGCACATTTGTAGTTAGTTACCTGTGCCCCGAGGGTCTGCCAGCTGTCCAAGTGTTCCTGTCCTGATGAGATGACTTGTGATGACAGAGGCACCAGAAGTATCAGGCTAGGTGAGGAAAATCTGAAGACTGCATTTTACCTACCATTTACTTGATTATTTGAGACAAGTGTGTAACTTGTTATGTTTGTAGTTAGGTGGCTGCTGAAGGGTGCAGTAGTGAGGATTCCTGTCTGAACCTGACAAGACTGGATCAGACCAGACCAGACCAGAGCTGGTGATTTGAGGACCTATTAAGAAGAGTATCAGGTGAGAGTTATCTTAATTCTGCATTCTACTAGTTCAATCATACTGGGTAATTGACACAAGTGTATAACTTATGTCTGCATACATGTAGTTAGGTGGATGCTGACTGATGCATTAGTGATGAGACCTGTGTAAACCTGACAAGACTGGACAAGACTAAGCAATTTGAAGATCCAAGAGGAATATTAGGTGAGAAAAATCTTAATTCTGCATTTTACATACATGTACCATTTACTGGGTATGTGAGACAATTGTGTAACTTGTTACATGTATGTCTCTATAGTTAGGTGGCTGCAGACTGATGCAGTTGAGTGATGATTCCTGTCTAAACCTGACAAGACTGGATTGGAAAAGACCAGACAAAGCAATTTAGGACCCAAGAAAAATATCAGGTGAAAATTATCAGTTCTGAATTTTGCATTTTACAAGTTTTATTTACTGGGTACTTGAGACAAGTGTATAATTTGTTATTTCTATATATAGTTAGGTGGCTGCTGAATGATGCAGTAGTGAGGACTCTGGCCTGTCTGAACCTGATGACAAGACTGGATTGGACCAGACCAGACCTGGGGATTTGAAGACCAATGAGGTATATCAGGTAAGGAAAGTCTTAATCCTGCATTTTACAAGTTCCATTTACTTGGTGTTATTTGAGACGTGTAACTTGTTATGTCTGTATAGTTAGGTTGCTGCTGAAGGATGCAGTAGTGAGGATTCCTGTCTGAACCTGACAAGACTGGATTGGACCAGACCAGACCAGACCTGGTGATTTGAAGACCAAGGACTCGAGGTATATCAGGTGAGGAAAGTCTTAATCCTGCATTTTACAAGTTCCATTTACTTGGTGTTATTTGAGACAATTGTGTAACTTGTTAGGTCTGTATACATGTAGTTAGGTGGCTGCTGCTGCTGCTGCAGTTAGTGATGACGGACTAGGTCATTTGAAGACCCCAGAGCAAGCCTGCATAGGTGAGACAATGCTTTTTAGTGTACAATGCTTTTATGCATTTAGCAACTTTCTTTCTACACTTTATAGAAATAATACAACAGCCTGTAACAAATTGGAAAACACATTTAACATGAATTTTGTTTATTTTTCAATTATACAGCAACACATCTATAGTAAGTTTGTGTACCCATTCAAGTAAATGGATAGTTCAATTGTGCTATTCTATTGTAATAGTCATTCAGTGTTGCCTGGAGATGTTATTTATGCCTGACACTTATGATCCTTTCATATATTACATGTCCTGACTGGGAAAAACCTGTACGTGATGACGGGTGACTTTTTGCACAAATCGGACCAGCAAACCTGTTGACTTGATTCAAGACAAAGAGTTTGTACAGGTGAGATACAGGTTTACAATACACCTTTAAGTTAGAAAATTATTTTCCATTACGGGCATTCAGTGTTTCTTTTTCAAATATACTGATTATCCATTCATATAGTTAGCTGTGTCCTGATGTTCCTGTCCTGACTGGGAGAAACCTGTGATGACTTGTGTCCAACCCAGACAAGATGAGGGCTCAGGAGGTCCAGTTAACTTGAAGACACAGTGAAGAGTTCGTACAGGTGAGGCAATGTTTTCCTCTGAAGTGACAGCACAAGTGACATATCTAAAAAACATTCAGTTTAGAGCCTGTGTTCTACATCTATTTGTTGATAAGCAAAGGGATAGTTCAATTGTGTATCATTTAATGGTCATTTAGTGTTGAATGGAGATGTCTTTGCATCACACTAATGATCTTTTAATTGTTACATTTAGGTGTGGTGTCCTGCCGTTCCTGCATTCCGGACTGGGAGAAACCTGTGATGACTGGCAACTTCTGTCTGATGCAGACCACAGCAAACCAGTTGGCTCTAAGATACAGAAGAAGACAATTTAGAGATTGAAGTGGTAGGTTAATGTATTTCCATAGTATTACATACACACAATGTACATCTGAATGTCTGTTCTAATTAAAGGTTAAATTGTTATGACAATAACCTTGTTCATAGTGCCAGACAGTTTTGTCTGTGTGGATAAAGAATATAAAAAATATTTGGTTTGGCTACATCTGATTCTATTCTGGGTGATGAGATGCATTGTACACGAGAAAACTCACTGATCATGTCCCAAGCAACTGGATAGATTTTGAAAACTGTCTGATGTTCGAAGCATCAACTTCTTTCAATCCTTTATCAGGCCACACCAATTTAATTTGATGCTTCTCGGATTTGCCCTGTCCATTGTTTTCTGATTTGAAAAAAAAGAAAAAGATTTTAGGTTCTGAATCAACTGCAAGATGCTCAATGAAAGACATATTTGGCCCCTACGGTTGGAGAAAGTCCCTTTCTTCCTAGTTGCTAAAGTTTTTTGATGTAACAATGCAACTTTGTGTCATTTAAAGTTC